TTGTCATGCATCCACAGATGCATCTCAAACAGATCCAAGGAGGTGATCCTCCCCGTCTATGCGGCACTGGTCAGGCTGCAGTTGGAGTACTGCATCCAGTTCTGGGCGCCGCGCTTCATGATGGATGTGGACAACATAGAGAGGGTCCAGAGGAGGGCCACTCACATGATCAGGGGGCAGCAGGGCAGGCCCTACGAAGACAGGCTACGGGACCTGAACCTGTTCAGCCTCCACAAGAGAAGGCTGAGGGGGGATCTAGTGGCCTGTTACAAAGTAGTCAGAGGGGACCAGCAGGCATTGGGGGAGTTCCTGTTCCCCCGAGCACTACCAGGAGTGAATAGGAATAACGGTCACATGCTGGCAGAGGGTAGATTCAGGTTAGATATCAGGAGGCGCTACTTCACGGTCAAGGCAGCTAGGATCTGGAACCAGCTTCCAAGAGAAGTGGTGCTGGCTCCTACGCTGGGGGTCTTTAAGAGGAGGCTGGATGTACACCTTGCTGGGGTCGTTTGACCCCAGTACTCTTTCCTGCCATGGCAGGGGGTCGGACTTGATGATCTGCTCAGGTCCCTTCTGACCCTACAAACTATGAAACTATGAATAGTTACCAGGGAACTTGGTCTTAAAAAATGTGATATCTTTCACTTATACTGTAATACTGCTTCAAGGTTCATGAATATTTGTAATTTAAAGAATTCTCAGATATGATTCAAATTGAACTTGAAAGCTGTATTTCCAATATCTTCTTTTCACAGTAATTAGAAAGCTAGTTGGGTATTAAAGAACAAAAGAAACAAAGCTTCTTCTCTGACAAAAGCATCCCTTGAGAAGGGGATGCTTTTGTGAACAATGTAAAGGTATTTACTAGATCATTTATTTTAACATATACGTTGTTGATGTAAGCAGGGATTTGCCAAACCTGCGTCTGAATTTAGGATATTTATGAATAAGGAAAACCTATGGTCTCGCTGCTCCTTGTAGCTCTGTGAATAATTTGCTCTTGTGAAGTATCCATGTTAGATTTTTTATTTTAAAGAGTACAACATTAAGTTTACTTGTGGTAAGTGAGACATTTTTTGTAATTTAATCCTTACCTTCTAGATTTAACTAAAACCAGTATGTACAATTTAATGATTACTGAAGTATTAATAAGATTAGAAATAAGATTCCGAAGATTAGAAATAGGTACCCTTTAATGCCACTATTGATACATTTATATAATCCCAGTACCTTTTAAGAGAGTTTTGGGAACATCTCATGCACATGTATGTGTGCACAAGTATGTGTGGTGTAGGGGTATACATAGGTATATATATAGCCATGCATGTGTCTAGACACATGTATGTGTGTGTGTATGTATGTATGTATTTGTGTATATATGTATATACACATGCACACATATGTGTACACACATATGTGTGCATGTGTATGCATATGTGTGCATGTATGTAAATATATGCAAGTGTGTGTTTGCATATGGGGGTATGTATGTGTAAATGTATGTACATACACATACAACACCACCACGTGCATGTGTGCATGCATGTATATAGGTGTGTGAATGCATATAAATATGTGTGTATACTTATCTAAACACAAACAGTCACATATGCCAATCCAGATTCATTTCTATAATATATTCTGTGTGTGTGTGTGTGTGTGTGTGTGTGTGTGTGTGTGTGTGTGTGTGTGTGTGTGTGTGTGTGTGTGTGCACGCATGCATTTGTGCATGCATAACATGTATATGACCTAATTTTGTCCAGTAATTTAAGGGCACATAGCAATATACGCAAACTTGGGAATAGAAATTGAATCTATTATGGGATCAGGCCCATGTTATGTATACATATATGGGCTGACACAACACCTGGGGTTGATGGTCCCTAAAACAATTCATTCAGGACAGGAAAACTTTGAAAAAATTCTGAAATAATGTAAAAATATTTACTTTTCACTAATCCAGCAAACCCAAGATTCCTAATTTTGCAAATGGTGGGTAGCATTTCACACAGCTCTATTATAGAAACATCAACCAGAAAACACTAGTTATCTTCAGTACCAGCTGCTGAGCTTGGTAGAGCTTTCTCTTGCATTGTATTACGTGAAATGGACATCCAAACACTGAGGACAAAACTCTTGAAGATGGGAATTGCTACCAAGCAAATATAAGAATTTTGTCCTTTGTGCTCCCCAGCTTTATCCTGCAATCTTTATTCAAGTGAAGCTCTGATTCATTGGATAGAATTCTGTTTGAATGGGCATGGCAGGATGGGATCCTACACAAAAAATCCAGCCAGTGTCTTCTTTGAATACCTCAATTGTGGGAAAGGGACAAAGCATAATTGTTGAGAAAGGATGGCGAATGCAATTACCCATTTTTGCAGAATTGTCAGGCCTTAATTGTAATTGTATAAATATGTATACACATTCATTTAAATAACTTAAATATTTAGCCACGTTGTTCTCTTACAGTGCTCAAAAGACACTGATAACTCAGTAACAGACTTCCTCCATCACAACTGCCTTTAAAACAAACATGCCACCAACTACTGTACATACAGATACTACCATCAGACTTTTAATTTATATGTGGATATGAAAGAATCAAGTCTCTTTTGACAACATATTGGTCAAAGCCTTTATATAACAATGGAATAAAGGAATAGCATTTGTTCTTTTTTAGTACATCAGAGAAATTAAAAGAAAAGAAAGGGGTTTTTGGATCTTAAGATATGAACAAGAACTTGTCAACATTTCCTATAAAACTTGAACATTCCAACAAACTTGTGTTAGTATATTGCCTGGCCAAACTAGTAAAAAATAAATTGCTTTTGCTTGTTTTTATGATTTTCCCAGATTTCCAGTGTCAGTAGTAAAGAATTGGAAGTAAGTTTTTCCCCTTGGGGAATGGCACCATCTGGGTGGTGCATCTCCACCAGGAAAAGAAGGAGGGCCTGCTTGAATAGCTTGGCCTTATTGATTTGGTGCCTGAGAAGTCCAAATGCTAATGCTCCTAATGATCAGCCACTCCTTTTGACTTTTGGTAACGAGTATTCTCATGCAGTTAATATTAAACAGTACTTTGTGCTCCACATCTGTCATTTCAAAGTTTCCATTTTTGAACTCTCCTAGTCTCAAATAAGTAGTACATTGCCTCCCCTTTTTGCTCCCTACAATTTTTTCCCCTACTTCTAGGGCTCCATGATGCAAAATGTCATTTTGCCGGTCTTCAGTTCCAGTGACAACTTTAATTTTGCTGATTTTAATAGGCCTTTCAAACACAATCACAAAGAAATCTCCTGTAGAAGGAGCTTTGCCCCAGAAGTACTCATCAATGCTACTGTAAGCTTTGCTTGCTTCATAGTTTTCAAATACATTCATGTTGGTATGCAAGTTTGCAGGTGGGTTGTCAGGGATGTCAAATGAATCCTCTTCAAAATCATCATCCTTCAGCTTGTTCTCAGCTCCTTTGTAAGATGAATAATATCCCATGTGCTGGAACAGAGATGGCTTAAAGCGGATGACTTCCTTTTGAGCTAGCAGCCCACGGAAGTGGATTAGCAGCCAATCGCAAGGCATTTCCTGGTAAAACATCAACAAAAAATGGGCCAGGCGTGGGAGGTCATGGGTGTGGTACAGCTTTCCAATATAGCCCAATTTGGAAAACTCTAAAGTTACCCAGTAAGATCCTTCTCGTGAGGTAATTACTTTCTTAACAGCAGTCAAGAAGTTTTTTGAGCATCGAACATCATCTTCAAGCATCACATAATAATCAGAAAGATTAGCACAGAAGTTAAGCAGGAAAGCATAATCAACATTTTGTTTGGATCGGAACTTCACCCGGTCTTCTGGGTCATTGTAATTTCTCTTAAGGCCATCCAGGACTGGATAGTACTCCTCAGGGACATGGATAACTATTAACCTACCAGCAATGATGTGATGGGCAAATTTCTGTGAAATATCCTGGACCATCCCTTCACACCAGGAGGAATCAAAGTCTGCAAGTTGCACAACCACTGCAATTTCCTTAAGTTCCTCATAACTTGATTGCTCAAATATGGACTTGATTGTCTCAAGCAAATAATTTCCCTTTTTCCGTTTCACTGATGATAGTCCAATTGTAAGATATCCTATGCAAAAGAGAATTTAGAATGAAAGATTAAATGCAAGTGAATTAGACTTTGAAAATCATGTAGCAAGAAAGCTTCCCTCCAGGGCTACTATTGCATTAAAACTTCTGAATGATAAACTCTGAAAAATTAGATACATGAACTTATTAAACTGTATGCAACAAAAGATATTTTATGCTATTTCATGAAAGAAGAACTATATTGCAAGAACATTGAGAAATGGAGACTATTGCATTAAACTTCAGTTTGTTAACTGCAGGGAATGGTGTGAAATGGACTAAAGCCAAAGTGATAAGTGCATATATGCCTGCTAGGAAAAAAAAATACATTTATACAGAGTTAAAACTATAAAATCTGGCAAAAGAAAGGGGAACTGAAAGTTATGGCTCACAAAGTATTTTTAACTAAAACCTTTATGAAATATAGCAAAAACTACGAGTTAAAGATTAATTACCTTTTATCATTTTACAGTACCGTACAAGCTTAATTACTTCTATTGCACAGTTTTGAAAGCATCTAAACTTTTCAGAGATAATTTCTTCTTGTATTTTCATTTTTAAATGAATTTTCTGAACTTCTATTTTCTGTTGTTACACTTAGGATAATAGGCTTATAGGAAAACAGGGCTGAAAGGGACCTCATGGCTACATCCAGCCAAGCACATGGCCTCACACTGCACATTCAGGCATTCTCTGCACTGCCATCTTGCAACGCAGGGTTTGATTTTTTCCATGCTGGGAGATCCCAGGGTAAAAAAAGAAACCTGTGCAGAAAAAAAGTGGGTGGCACATGTGGCAGCAATGCACGCTGCCCAAAACCAGAGCCTGGCCGGCTGGAGCCATGCTCTGGATGCTGGCAGACTCTCAGTTGCAGGAACACCACAGCTGTAGGTTCCTCGGTAAGGCCGCTGGCACCAGCACAGTTGCTGGCCCCAGCCTCCCTTACCCCGTCAGGGGTAACCTGCCATATGCCAGAGCATGTGTGGCATTCATTTAACGGTGCACATTCATTTAATGGTGCAACAGGGTATGATCCCTTATCCCAACAACTGGGCTTTTGGACATGCCACATGTGCATAGCAGGAGGCATGATTTTGGGATCAAATCCCAATTATACCTTTACTACTTGCCAGTGCCAGGGGAATCTAGTGTTTGTAGACATTTGTGTTGAGCTGGAATCCTTTTAATTTGCATTAAGGTAAGTTTAGTAGGCTTTTTGCAGTGCTAATGTTAAGTTAGGCCGTGTTAGCGTAAGTGAGGTTAAGGGAAGTAGTGTAAAAGGAACTGAGTCACAGGTGAGAGAAACTTCTTGGAAGACTAGCCAGTCTTAGGACATCTACTTTTGATAAAGAGATTAGGTCAGTGCATATCATCTTGACTAACAGAGTGACATTATGGCATGCATCTTCTTGTTACTATGTTTGTTAAAGTTTGTATCTTTATGTTGTGAGCCTTTGTTTGAGGAAGGAGATAAAAAGGGATTCCATGCTCTGAGATGCGTTTGCTATATTCATAATTGGAAATTCTAGTACAATTTTCTTATACTTTCTCTCCATCGAAGGACTCAATTTGTATGAGAACAGGGACTGTCAAACAAAACCCTCAGAGCCCCAAATCCTCTCTAGGGATCAATAGGTCATGATCCTCGGCTTCTCCTGCACTAGCAAGTTGGGCTGGGGCTGCCAATAAGCTGATTGTCAGCTTCAGCCCTGGTATTGCACCAAGGTCTTGAGTTTTACACTGAGGTAAATTCCTAGGTGTAATCTGGGGTTGGGGCTGACAGCCAGATGATGTCAAAGCCCCACACCTGGCAGCTCTGTCCAGTCTGCCAGGGACGGATGATGAGAGGCTCCTGAGCAGGGGATCCAAAGGGCTTTTCCCTCTGGGGACTTTAAACAGTACCAGGAACCTCTGATTTCCTGTGTCTGGCAGCCTGGGCAGAACTGCTGGACACAGGGTATAAAGTCCCCAACAAGGAAGCCTTTTGGCTCTCCCCTCTGCACCCTACCCACACTCCCATGCCCAGGCTGGCAATTGTCAGTCATCAAGCTAAAACTACACTGTGGCTGGTTCAGGACTGTGGTGCAGTCCTAGCCTCAGAACCAATGATCAGATGATTATCAGCCCCAGTCACTCACTACACTTAAGGCACTATACAAATCAGCCACAAAAATATTCTACATTCTATGTGCAACATTTTAAGGCTTGTTTGTTATTTTATGCATCCTAAGGGTGTGTGTAACACCCTTGCCATTTATGCCACAATTAATACATTAATAGTGTCATATAAAAGTAACATGTAGAGGGGACCTGATAGTCAGAAAACATTTCCTAATCTCCAACATACATTTTCACTGCCACAGCTTGCTTTTAGTCCTGTCCCCTATAGTCACAGAAAAAAGGCTATCTACTTGGCTTTGGTGAGGCCGCAGCTGGAATACTGTGTCCAGTTCTGGGTGCTGCGCTTCAGGAAGGATGTGGAGAAACCTGAGATTCTAAAGGAGGGCTACACATATGGTTAGAGGCCTGGAGAGCAGGCCATATGAGGAGAGGCTGAGAGACCTGGGACTATTCAGCCTAGAGAAAAGAAGACTCAGAGGGGACTTGGTGGCAGCCTATAAGTATATAAGGGTCACACATCAGGGCCTGGGGGAGCATCTGTCCACCAAAGTACCCTAGGAAAAGATAAGGAATAATAGTCATAAATTGCTGGAGGATCACTTTAGATTGGACATAAGAAAAACTTCTTTACAGTTCAAGTGTCCAGGGTCTGGAACAGACTTCCCCCAGAGGTGGTACAAGCACTTACTCTGGAAATTTTCAAAAAACCATTTGGATGCTCACCATGCTGGGGTCATCTAACCTCAGCAGTCTTTCCTGCCCAAGCGCAGGAGGGCTGGACCTGATGATCTTGTGAGGTCCCTTCTAGTCCCTAACATCTATGACTCTATGAATCTCCTTTATAATCACCTTTTAGGTATTTGAAGAGTGTTATCAAATCCCCTCATAGTTCTCTCTACTCTAGACTAAATAACCCTATTCCTCCTTTATTTTTTTCCTCCTTTTCTTTCGCTTTGAGACAAGTAACTCAGACTTTACATTAAAGTGTAATAGAATGTTAAATATGTGTGTGTTTCTATAAGTAATGTCACTGCATTTACATTTTTTGAGTGAGATGAAAATTGCAGATATGTGACATGAATTACCATCTGTAGTACTTTGAAATAACTACCTCTGCACTTGTGCCTGCAGCAGAAGCCAACTCTTTTAGTTATTTGTTGAGACAGATTACACTTCTGTGATTATAATATAGCTCTTTCAATGGAATGCCACCTTTCTCAAGGTATCAATAACAGCAGTCTTTAGAGAATCCGTCCATTCCCATGTGTACTCATAAAATCATTTACAACTATACATCTTCATTTTTGTTGACCCACTCTCACTGTAAATGTTCTATTTTATAATTTTTTCAAATATGACCCTGGATAAAATGTAAAGACAGTGATACCCCCAAATGATCTAACTACTGACTGGTTGGGGTCCACTTAAAATGCCATTGGAGTGGAGTATAGTACAAATCCCAGCAGCCAGCCCATCAAGTCTTTCAAACAAAACTTTCATTTACAACTTTCCCCAGTGGAAGCAAATGCACTTTTTATTTTCTGATTAATATTTAGATTTATTAATCTTCTCAGTTCCAACCCCCCTTTCTTTTGATTTTGTGTGAAATGGTTGATTTGGTATCTAAATACATCAGTATAAAAGCTAAATACTGGCATATTTCACCTGCAGGTTTGAAAGTCTCAAATCCTGCCTAAAGTTGAAATAATCAGAATATTTAGAGTTTTCCTACCTTGAGATTGGGTGGAAAAGAACCTACCCAACTCTCTTGCTGTCTAAATATCAACCTGATCTCTCTACTGACCCAGCTAATGGAATAACAAGTACACTCAGTGTGTAATTATTTCCCAGCTATGGAGTCTACTGTCACTGAGGACTCAGTGGTCCCACTCTTTGCAACTCACAAAAACTTACCTTCTTCCCCTGCTTCATCCTTATGAAGAAATATCTTGAGGGTTCCATAGAACAGAAAACTTTGAAGATTTCACACAGATTTCTAAAATAATTTATCTAATGAAATTCAGATTCTCATTACTTACTTTTCCTTGGCAAAGGCGTGCCAGCTAGGTAGCGATAGGAAACATTTATAGATCCTGAGAAATTAGATAAGTCTTTAAAAGTGTGAACATAACGCTCTGAATTAAGCTGGTGTGTGGCTGCTTCTCTGATTAGTTGCTTGTCCCCTTCCTATAAGAAAAAAGAAAGAATAGGAGGGGAAGTGGGACAGAAATCGTTAATGCCATCTAGAAAGAAAACTGGGGGTAAAAAGTTTCCCAAAATACAATTTTTTCAAAGTTATTTTTCTTCAGCTATGTAGATCACACTCATTTTTAAGAAACGCACTACCTGAATATCAAACATCTTTGGTTACAGGAAATCTACCATATCCTCCATATTATAGCAACAGAGTAAGAGGAAAAATGGTCTTTTTTGGACAAAAATATTGGAGATGTATTTTTTCTTGGAGAGTTCAGCACACTTAAGATTGCCATTGAAATGATGCAGCATTAAATTTATGACATAGTGTATATCAGTGATGGATGAAATGATCCTTTTGGGCAATGAAGTGGGGAGATTTTAAAAAAAGCTTCTTCTGATGTAAAAAAAAAAAAACTGTTGAAAAAATGAAACATGAAATAATGTTCTTACATCTAAAGTTAGACACTACCATTTCTCTAATACCTTAATATTTCCTTAGACCCTTGATCTGCAGGAAAAATAAGTAGGCTGTGCCATGCTAAAGGATGATGAAGCCTACTTTTAATTCATCCCCAGCCAACATTATTGAAGAGCGCAGATTTATGACACTGCCTCCTTCCCATCCTTCACATCATCCTTTGAGTTGAGACTTCCCCAGACACAGGTAAGGCCAAAGCCTTAAGTATGTAATGAAAGCAAAACTGCCTTGACCTAGCAGCTCACCATCCCTGGACATTCACAAGGATTGGGAACAACCTAGCCATTTACGCTGGAGAAACTATTCATCCGAGTTGTGTTATCATGAAACTGAGGGTAAAGGTGGGAATGCTCATCTAGTTTATAGCGGGTGCATCTCCATGTGTCCCTGACTGCACAGTTGGTACTGCACAGCCATTTAGTACTTGCTAAAGCAAGTCCTGGATGACTGCATGGTACTCACTGGTACTGCACAGTCCTGGTGGTGCACAGGTTGTTTCCAACCCTACTGCACAGTAGCAACCAGCTACTGTACATTAGCTTGCTGCTATTGCACAGTAGCAGTTGTGTCACCTTTAGTACCCACTAATGCTATGTCATCATAATGTATCATGTAGATGTGCCCACTGTGTATTTTTGGCCTCTGGAAGAGAAAGGATATAAGGACGTTTCATGTTTCTGCTTCTTTGTTTAACTAAAGTAGCCAAACTGATTGAGAGAGCATCATACAGCATATGTACAAGTATTACCTTTATATTGACCTAACCAAGGCATTCATGGGGCTTAAACTGCCCCCAAAGTGGTGTACTAGTGCCTCAGGAAGTGAACTAACTTTAGATCCTATTTCCTTGACCCTGACCATGCTATTTTTGGACTCCTCCCAGACCAGATAACCCCTTGTGGACCAACCAACTCTCACTGCAAACCTGTGAGCCTTCCTTGAACCTGCCAATCTCCTTGGCTCTTTTAACCCCTCCATGGACCTGCAAACCCACTAGCACCTCCACCTCACCCTCTGCCCAAGTTACTTACTTCAGACTGCCTGAGCCACACTGCTGGTAGCAGCAAACACTTGAATGTGCTGCTCCTGGTTTAGATTTAAAGTAAACTGCTTACACCTAAACTGGGTGCAGCAAATGCTTATTTGTACCCAGAGTCATCAGTCATATTGCTAACATAAGCAGACAGTCTAGTAGTAAAGCATATTTATTTTTAATGGTATTATTCTTCAAAAATTGGGATGTGTCAAGATACTTATTTTGCAACAGAAACATTTCCAGAAATCTATCTTCTAAGGTTCATTTTAAGTTCAATATTTCTTCTTTTATAGAAGAAATAACACACTGCTCAGCTGAACAAAAATCTTTCGGCTAACTTCCAGGGGCATGTACCTGAACTGCTATGCTCACTTGATCTGCAAGGTCTCCCTGGGTAATTTCTTTCTAGGACTGTTATGCAACCTTGCATTAACTGATAAGTTATGACACCAAGCTTTATGTTTATCACTTTTCAGAATAGAATATAAATAAATGTATTAGCTAGAGATTATGTAATGATACTGGATTTACTTTTAGAGTTGGTCAGAATATTTTGGCCAGAATATTTTTTCAAGGAAAAATGCCATTTTTATTGAACCCCAGGCCATTTTTAAAATTCTATGTTCGGTAAACAATAATTTTAGAAAAATGAGCTTTTATCATAGAATTTTTACATATAACATTACAAGCTTTCATTTCAAACAAGTTTTTTTCAAGGAAATTCTTTATTTTTCATAGAAAAATATGTAAAAAACTTTTAACAGGATATTATCAGAACAGAATTTTATAATCAAAACCAAACATTTCAACTCATTGGAAACAAAATTTTCATGTAAATACAATTTTATGGGGAATTACAAATACTTTGTTTTCCTTGGAAAATGTTTTGGAACTGTGGAATATTCCATGAAATAGAAAAGCTCTGGGTTCCCATCAGCTCTGGTTACCCTTGAAGTACTTAGCTGATCAGCTAGATCTGCTGGGGACTCTTCTGATTTTTCTGTGTTGTTTTTGGCTTTCACTTGTAAATCCAAGATAGAGTACACCAAAAGACAAGGAAAGGAGTAGGCAATCACTAGCATATGCTGCACTTTGTTTGCCTGCACTTGTGAGATTCTTCTGATTATCTGAGTGTGCTAGGTGCCCCTCAAGAGAAGCTCCACTCTTCTAAGGATTCAGTGAAAACTGTAAATCTACTAGTATTGTTACAGTCTCCAAAATGATGCTTAAATATTTACATTTGAGACAGAAAGGCATAGTCCATTTCCCAAATCACTTAGAATCCAATTAGTCAATAATTGAACTATGCACACTTTGTGATTCAGTTAAGTGAATGCAGTGCTCATGAAAAATGATCTGTTGATCAGATATAGCTCACACTGCTGCAATCTGTGTAGTGCCCTGCCAGTGGTCCTCAACACTGCGCAGTATTTATGTGACCTGGAGTGATTCTACTAAGGCTACTAACGTGAAATTTTGCTCTAGTATCCTATAGCCGGCATGGTTACTGAAATGGAGGTTTTACTTTATGCTTCTCTAAATACTACACTTGGAAAAAGTAGTGAATGAGTCTCCTAGGGACATGTAAGGGATTCTGTTTGAAATCTGAAAGTGTTAAATTACATTCCCCCCTTTTGAAACGGTTTTATTTCATTAAATTCCTCTTTTCACCTAGGGAAGAGAATATCACATCCATATTCCTCTGCTGGGCTGTAGAGAGGGAAGAGCTGGGATCACATGAATTATATCAACTGTAGGAGTATTGCCACAGGCACCACGGTAGAAAAACCTAACCACTTCTGAAACCAGGAGGACCTTGCAGTGTGTCCATATGCAATCCTTACACCTGCTTTGTCCTACAAGGTAACTAGTAGGGCTGTGCGAAACAGCACCGTTCCATTTTGTCTTGAGTTTCGAGGTTTGGACAGAACAGTGTTTTGTTTTGAATTTCATTTCCATTTGCAACAGCTGTTCTGTTTCGCTTGGTCAAAACAGTGATACTGTTTCAATGCTGTTTCAATGTTTCGCCGGTTTACTATAACAGGGCAGCTAGAAATAGCCTCTCTCATCCAGTATGCAGATGGGGGCCCGCAACCCTGGGAAGCCTGCGGGGGCTGTGCCAGTCCTCCCGGGGCTGCAGAACCTGATCTGCCTCCCAGATGAGGGAAGGAAGCTGGGTGCTGTCACCTGAAACCGGGGAGCTGGGGAAGGAAACTGAGCCCGATCACTCAGTTTCCCTCCCCAGTGCTATGATTGGGCTGGGGAAAAAAACTCAGCCCAGCTTAGCCTGATCGCGGAGCTGGGGAGGGGAACTGAGCCTGGACTCAGTTCCCTTCTCCTGTGCTGCGACTGACTTCCCACAGCCTGGCCTAAGGAGGTGGGGAGAATCAGAGATGTGCTCCCAGCTGAGCCACATGCGGCTGTGGAGCTGCTGGAAGCACAGCCCTGGTTCTCCTCTGTCTCCCACTACCTGGCTGCTTCAAAACTTTCAAAATGTTTCACTAGCTTCATTTTGTTTCAAGGCTGTTTCGAAGCCCTTTTGTTTCGATTCAATTTCACTGTTTCAAGCTCAAAATGAGTCGAAACAGTGTCGAATCAAAACAGCCGGTGAAATCTTGAACAGCCCTAGTAACTAGAGAGACTATTGTTTTTGAATTCCCTATGTTTAAACTGCTGATCTTATACCTTACCAAACAAAATATCAGACAGGTTAAAGGAACTGTCAGATATGACCAGAGAATCTAAAAAAGAAAAAAAAAAGTGCCAGCAGCTAACATTTGAACAGTGGTTGATGGTCCATAAATAGGGTGACCAAATTATTTTGAAGGAAATCCAGGGTGGGGCAGGGAAATCTGGGACAGGTGACGTCACATGCCTGCTCCTCTCCCTGACTCTGTGGCTCCCAGGAGTCTTGATGATGGGGCAGGGTGGAGCAGGACAGTGCGAGGCCTGAAGCCAGGCTTGATCCCCAGTGCACAGAGGCTGGACCTAGCTGGGAGCAGCCCCTCTGCAGTGCCCTCCAGGCTCCACTAGTCTGTGCTGCATGGCCACATGGCATCTGCCCCACCATTGCCAGCAGTGCCCAGAGCCACTATGTGCACCTGGGCCTTGGCAGCAGCCACAGCAGTATGGCAGAAGGCTGCTGGTGGTGGGCAGCCATCCTGGCTATTCCCATGTAGGTGCCTGAGCTGTGGCCCTGGCTGCCTCCTCTGGCCCTCCCTGCCTCGGGAAGGAGAAGTGTGGCTGGAGTGCTGCTACAAATCTGGGACTTTTGCTTCAATTTTAGCCAACCCACTGGGATGCCAGGGCAGCCTATGAAATCTGGGACCGCCCGAGCCAAACTGGGTGTATAGTCACTTAAAGGTATTAGGAGATCTGGGAGAACTGTCAGGAGAAAGTAAAAGGTTTAGCTTTAGTTACATGGGCTCAGCCAGATCTGTGATAAGAAAAAGCAATGAAATAAAGTAAACTTTTTTTCAAAAGGCTAAGAACAAAACATTGAATTTTCTTGGGAGTTGGCAAACATAACTGGAAATTATTTAGAAAACAAAACAAAACAGAAAAAGAAACCATGAAAAAGACTGTAAGCGATGCTTTAGAAAGCACATAGGGGGGCTTCAAAGAAATGAGTGAAAGCAGGAGAGAGTGTTGTTGTGTGAAAATCCAGTACAAACCAGGTTAAATTTTATCACAACCATGACAAATAAGATACTATGCAAAATCTTAATGCATGCAGTGTTGCTAGAGGAGGTTGCTAGAAGTGGATCTAAATGCCCAAAGCTGCTCTCGTGCCTTGTGCCTCAGCTGTGCATCTTTGCTGATATTCATGAGCATGCTAACTTGGTTATACTGCTTAAGCACAGGCTTTGGTGCGAGTAATGTGACAACCTTCTTGGCAGCACTTCCAGGCTTGCCACAGAAACAGTGCAGACATGTCTACAGAAAAAAAACACAAAAAAACAGACCTCCTGACTCTCATTTCATCATGCTGTGCTATCATGTTTTGTTGTGCTGTCTTGCTGTGCTATGCTTGACTTTGCTCATATGATTGTTTGCAGAATCTGTGTCTCGAGGAGTTATATGCCCTTTTGTCATGGCCTAATATCCACACAACCATTACTCAGTCTTACAGCTTGTTTATATGTTTGTATTTGATCTTGAATTGTGCTATTTGCACAATTTTAATTACCTTAATTACATCATAATTTCACTAGTTAATGACTGAAACGCCTAACTCGGGTCCTTTAGAAAACCCCATGCTTATGCCACAAGTCTTCAAGAGGCTTTATTAAAATCTTCCTGTTACCATCCTATCTTGCAACCTGCCAACACAAATATGGGATGCCTCTTATGAGACAGACTCAAAATGAGATCCAAAAAAGAAATTATTCATGCAAGAAGCTTTTAAATGATACAGGATTAATTCTTGTAGTGTAAGCATGCCTTCTATAATCTCAGTTGCATATGTCATTAGGATAATTACTGTTGAACTGTGTCAAATCTGAGTTTTTTTGTTCACATGATTAATTCAGATGCAAATGATTTTCAACAATAAAAATGACGGGTCAACATATGGATGAAATTCAGAAAATTTGGTAACAAATAGAATGTTTATATGATATCTATATATCTCCACACTTTCTCCTTATTTGCAATAGCTGCAGAAGGTCATATAGCCACAAAACAAAATATTATGGTGTAGTTTAATTCTGAAGGAGATAAACACCATGACTTTCCTGATGCCCTCTAGTAGGTATGCTATTTCAATAATGGAGGCTGCATTTTCACTAGAGAGCACATCCAGAAAATAGTTTATTATAAATGTCCTTCACTAAATCAGAGAGGGGTTTAGTCATTCTAATCTGAAGTCAGGCAGAAGGTAAGGCAGGCTGGCACCCTAAAGACTAACTGGTTCACAGAGGCATGAGCTTTCATAGGCAACAAGCTACTTCATCATATAGCATCTGACAAAACAGGTTATTGCCTACAAAAGCTCATGCCTCTATAAATCAGTTTTTCTGTGCCATGCTGCCCTATCTTCTGCTTCACCTAAATCAAAGGAATTGTAGCAGTTCTTTACACTTCTTTACACTTATGGCCCAATTTTTAACTTGGCCACTTGGCCACATGAGTGTGGATGTTTGGTTCCCTGGTGACAACTGGCAGTGGGACACCTTGTGCTGCCACTAGTTGTCCCTGGGGAACAACTGTGTCACATATACTCTGGAGTGTGGCAGGTGTGCGGCAGGTGAGGCTGGCCCCAGCAGCCTTACCTGGAGCCCTGAGGGCCTCTCAGGGCTGTAGCAGCAGCGATCCTGCCTTAGAGCATGGCTGGCAGCCGGAGTGTAGCTCCAGCTGGCCATGCTCCGGTTTTGAGCAATGCATGCTGCCCTCACGTGCACCACTCTATGCTTTTTTTGTGTGGGTTTTGACTCCTGCATATTCAGGGGTCAACCCCCCCCCCCCCCGGCGCTGCTCCCTTGCAGTGCAGAGAATAGCTGAATGTGCAGTCTGCGGCACCACGTACCACGTGGCTGCACTTGTCTGGACGTGGCCTAGGTGTGGTATATCCTGTTTTCTGAATTTGCTTCATGATCCACTTCCAACATCTAAAAAACTTACCAATACATAACCATCTTCAATGTATAAGTTCATGAACAGCAGGCAAATAACAAGGACTCCTAAGAATGATACTGCTGATCGCTTCCGCAAGCATCTCATTTTATCCAAATATTTCAATGTGAGTCTCATGTGAAGTAGTACATATGGTGTCTCCTACAAGAGAAAACCACGATATAATTATTAAAAATTGGAATGGGAATTAGAGAATCATCAAAAGTTCACACTTGAATGGATTTAAACACAAGTTGTACTCCAATATGGCATGTATTAGTCTGATTCTCCAAAGTTCAAGTAGGGAAACTCAGATACTAGATAGTCCTGGATCAAAATTTCATCTGGAGTACTTCACCTGGATGCATTTACTCATAGACCTCTTCTGAAAAATGTTTTTAAGAATGGCAAATTTTCATTTACAGAATTACTCCCTAAACAAGTTCAGTCATATCTACTGGGCTGAGTAACAATACAAAATATTTCCCCTTTTTTAATTCAGTTAGCTCTGAACAGCTAACACGGCTATGAGAAGTAGGCTGTAGATTGTATGCCATATCATGCCTTATAAGCATGATTTTGCAAGCAAGTAGCACTGAATGATTGTGTCATTGGACTATTAGGAACTGAAGAAAATGGGGTTGTAAATGAAGGCCTACTAAAACATTATTATTGGATATTATGTATAAGAGAGGATCTCATCCTGGCTGTCAGAGCACAAACTAAATTTGTGCAGTACATTTCAGATGGAAATCACTGTAATACTGCTTGAAAATAGGCTTCTCAAAACAATATGGAGGGTGGAACTGAAGAAAATTTCAATAACTTTTGCCTGAACATAAGATTACAGGTATATTCATACCAAGCAGACAGAATAGAAGGATGCTATGCTTATGGTATAACTTTCTGTATACAAAGCCTTCTCCAGACAACATACGAACACACCTGATTTTTAAGCACTAGATGGCAGCATGGACACATCTGACTTTCTATGGCCATGCCTTATAAGTGGCATTTTTTCTAACCAGCCTGCATGAATGCCTTGTTTTGTTTACCATAATTATAGTGTGAGCTTTTAGAAAACATTTCTTCGCTTTTTCCGTAGAATGGTTTCTTTGTTACACTTCAATTTCTAGCTTCTAACATAGTACTATAGAGTGCTATGCAAGTGAAATTTGTGAGAAGAAACATAACATTTGTTTTCTGTATTTGTGATTTCAGTCTGCCTCTTCTACAAGAGAGATTTGACTCTTTATGTAGTGAGACACCTGACATTCATTACAGTATTTTAACATATTAACCATTCAGTTTTACTACAGCCAAACAAAGCTAAGGCCCTGATTTTTACATCTTAGCACTAATTCTGGAACCACACTTTTGTCTTACAAACACAGCACTTTTTTTGCCTACATTTCAGTGCGTAGTTTCATATACAATGAAATAGACACCTCAGTGTTATAAACATACCTGTTTTTGAAAAACAGGTCTTAAAAGTTGGGTATGTGCCGATATTGCTGCACCCAGTCTCTGACTGCCACATGATCATAGATCGGGGAGGTGTGTGCAGATGTTTGCAGGTGCTGGGGGCTGTGCTGAGAAACTGGTGTAAGTAACTTGGGGTGAGGGGGGACATGGGTGGGGTTGGGGGGCAGCAGGTCTGTAGGGAGGTTTGGCAGGTAGGGGGGAGGGTTGTTAGGATCAGGAGGGTGGTGGCCTATGGGTGGGAAGCGTTATTCATTCAAGTGTGGGAGGGTGGGAGTGAGTAGCTGAGTTTTCCCAGTCCCAGGACTGTGCTCCAAATGTATTCAGACTTTCACTAAATCAGGCTAACACATTCCCGATCTAAAATAGTTCACCTCCTCAGTTGAACTGATTTAGAGTGGGCATGCCATCTTTTGCCGGCTTAACCTCCCGTAACGTCTGTACATATCAGCATTCAGATTGATGTAACCCTAGTTAAGTTGATCTAAATGTAATGCCTGCATGTACCCTATTTTAATAGATAGTGATTTGCCAAGTCAAATTCATGTTCATATCCTAAACAAGTTTTTTGCTTAGTTCCTTTCTGTTCTCCATATCTTTGTAAGTGTTTATACCTGAATATCTTCTTTACTTCTCCAAGTTTATGTCACATTTCTTTTGACAATCTTAACCAATATCAATGAGCATAGAGTGAACTAAGATGTAAAATAGTATAAAGGAAGACTTCTGCTTATTGAATCTATAAGCTTTGGAAACGTGCAATAGCGCAAAAATAACTTTTCACCTGACAGCACTGCCTTCTTATACCATCTAGCCAAAGGAACACAATTTTAAATATTACTCATAAGAAAGCAACCATTTAATTACAATCTTTTCTTTAGTCCCATTGAAGGCAATGGAAGTCTTACGCCCATTTTAGTCACCTCTGTCACCGTTATAGCATGATGTGTTCTATGATTCTTAATGGCTCAATAAACTGAACACAAGGCCTGAAGTATGAGACAGTATAGCTTTGCCTAAAGGAAAAGTGCAAGTCAAAGAAGTCATTCCCTTCCTCTCTCTTGTTCCACAGCAATAGTAATTTTCCTTAGCTCCTTACCATATACAGGCCGTCCATATATACATACACAACTACACTTACTAATGGCCATCACGTTGAAAATGGATTCAAGCTTCTGCCCACTCTCCATCCCCTTGTACTCGCAGCCTTACAGAAAAGATAACTTGTTACTCTCCTCCTCCTTTTGTCTGTTATGGCTGACATGCAAGGAGTCCATTCAGACAGCTTTCCCCTTCCCCTTGCTGTCAACACATACTCCTCTGTGTGGCCAGCTACTTACTAGTCTTATCTAATCAATATAACAAATACATTTTATACAGAGATGGAATATACAATGTATATTTTTGGTCCTCCTTGTGTTCCGCTGTATGTGTATTTCAGTACTATCTCTAGCCAGCACAAGAGAAGTTGCTTATTTGCAGATAAACTAATGGCTGTCAGAAATGACAGGTGCATTATTTTTATACTGTAATCTTTCCATATCAGTCATGCAGCTTTTTCTATCAAAAACACAAAGGCCCTATTCTAGATACACTGAAGTATATCCACTGCCACATTTATTACCCCCACAAAATCCAGAGATAACACACTAAAAGTGGATTAGCAAACCCCTTGTGAACCTTACTTACAATCCCTGAATTGATTAAGACTCTCTGAAGCAGGATCTTCACCCTTCAAGCCTTCTGATGTACTGTTCCACCATTGTGTAGCTGAGTTGCTTTGCTTGCATTTCTTAATGCTTGTCCAATTTGTTTTTCTGCTTTTCTTTTTGGAAGGCTGCACATGATGCCCTGAGGGCTATGCTCAATTCTTCTTATAAAAGTGCGAGATTCAGACATGGAAAAGGCTTCCAGAAAAGAAAAGAAAAAGTCCAGTAAAAATATAAAGGATTTTTTACATGGTTAACATTAAATTTTACATGAAGGTCTGTGATATTTGTGTTAGCATCTGTCACATTCTTTCCATAGAAGATGAAACAAAGAAACCACAAGTTACTGTATATATTTGCAGCTGTGGTTGGTAGTGAACTGGAAAATTGTAATGGATAGACTATTCCATAGGGCTCAGATAGACTCCCAACAAGATTCGCTGTCTGTCTCACTGAAAGCTTGAAAGTACATATAAAATGTTTAAAGCTGACAGGCAGGAGGTTTGCTGTCACTAGAAGCAGGGAAGTAAAAATTGTTATGGGGAGGGGAAATTCTAGTGTTTAAATTCTGGATGAGACAAGGAAATCTAACAGTTAAAAGCAGGGGATTTAAATTGGAGTAAGCAACCTCCTGTTTGGACTGTCTGCTCTAATTCATATGACAGAATATAATACAAAGCATATGGTTTAAAGGACTTCATGTTCTGAGGAACTTACATTCTAGATGCTGGGATGACACTTAAAAATCAGGAAGTATGGATGGGTACAAACCTAATCATACTTAGCAGTGCTGGAAGGCCAGGCAAAAGAAATGGGCCCTGGATACTGTACTTGTCACATGGGGAGTGGGAGACTGTCAAACAAAGATGACACCTGTAAAATGAGGTACAGAGATGGGAATTAGAAAAAAGGAGGGCAGGGGGCAGATTGGGCAGCACAGTGGGTTCAGGAGAGCCAAACAGGAAGAAACAGGGATCAAAGTAGAAACATGTACAGAGCTATACAGAACTGTAAAATTGAGGATGAAGAACTTAAATGTGATGTATAAAGACAAAGTCAGTGAAGGGCTCCAGAGATGGACTTAGATCAGTGGAAATAGGGATATTTTAACTGTATATCCTGGAGAATAGAGAAAGGAGATATAAAATAGAGATATGAAGTGGAGGACGTTCTGGGAATCAATTAAAGATGACTAATGACTGAGAAAAGGTATTGATTCAAATGGCAGCAAGTCACCTTATGAATCATCAGTACGACTAGTTATGTTTTATCAGAGGTAACCTAGAGGAAAAGATAGGATTTAGAAATATAGAATAGATGATGAAGTGACAGGCAAGATCCTGGATGGTAAGTAAATGACGCAGAGCAAACTGGAACTGCTTTGACAGCCTGAGCATCACCAAAAAGGAAGTGTCTGTCATGGTAAAGGATTAAAAAGGGGAGAAAACAGGGTGCTGGGACATTCTGAGTCAGAGATTATAGAGGAAGACGGAGAAAATGGGAGAGTGAGGAAGAGGTCAGAACCAGAGAAAGATTTGTGAACTATCAGTATACGAATGGAAAGTAAGTAAGTAAATTAATAGGAAAGAGTTCAGAGGAGTAAGGCACAGACTGAAGATTGAATCCGAAAGTCATGGGGTTTGGGGTGGGGACACACACTGCTCCCAGTCTACAATCACACAGCGTAAAGTATGCTGCATGATTGTAGACTGGGTGAATTTTCTCTGGGCATGGACAAATATTTTAGTCACTTTTAAAGGGGAAGTGGATTTACTGATTGAGAGTTTGCAGCAGCTGTTACACACTGCTATGTCTTCAGGATCTTCTAGCAATACAGGTTCACTAAATCACCGTAATTTTAACCATGAATGAAGCAGGGTTAAAATTAGAGCAGTTTTTCTATATTGAATCAATATAGGATCATGCAGGCATAATGGCTGCATTGTAACAACTTGTATCAGTAGCCTATGA